TATTGGATATCGTGCCCGAGACCAGGAGAAAAAGAGTGATGAGCACTTGCCACATGCACTTTGACGCATCCGAAGGACCTCTTCTCAGGCTTTGAGCAAGATCTTCGATGGTCGTTTGGCTAGTCTTTTCGTTACCGGCTTGGTCAACAGACAACAGAGGCCAGTGGCCTGCGTTTGCTATTGAAGCTGAAGTGGTGGCGCAACCAAGCCTACGCATGGGAGCGGTCAAAGCACTACTCGGAAGCAGTTCAACATGCGAACGGACAGCTCAGCCAACGGTTGGGACGCTTGCAGGTCCTCTTTTCCCACATACCCCAACAGCATCCAGCAGCCGATGAGCGGAAGCTCATGCGAGAATTGGTGGCCGAATGACATGCAGCACACCTCGCTGTACCACTTGAGTTTGCCGGCGTTCTCGCAGAAGGTGGAGCGGGCCGGAGACAGGCTGCGCGAGTCGTGGCGTGGCAGGGTTCTGAGGCTTCCTTTTGCAGCACGTGCGGCTGTGGTCGAGCTGTCATTGGCCTGTATTCCAGACATCACTTTGGAATCCTGGGCTTGGCGGAGTTTGAGGGGTGACTACGATAACCACGACGATCCATCGGAAGTTCAAGGTCAGTGTGACCTTTGGCAAGCCGGAGCTGAATCCTTTGTTCTTGAAGAGCGACCTCCACCGCCGGGACAACGATCCCTGTGCAAAGATGGCCCACGCGTACTGCCCTGTCTGCATTGCCGCGCCGAAATCCCAGAGTTTTTTTTTGGTATAGGATAGTTTCTAGGTTCTGGAGCATCGTGGCACAGGCGTCTGTTGTAGTCGGCCGTCCTTGCAGCATTGCAGTTCTCAAGTCGGCTAGCGGCTAGCGGCTTGGTTCCATTTAGCCATGACGGAGTGGGTGTACTTCCAGTGGGTGGCCTCGGGTGGAATCTTCCACCAAATTGGACGTCCCGACTTTGATCCACACGATCGTGCCGCTGTGCGGCGTGACTTTGCCATCACTGCTGCAAGGATTCACCGAAAGGCAGTGGGAGTTTCGCTGCAAAACTACAGCCTCAGCATATCTCAGCATGTTAAGCTTGAGTTTTTAGTCCTGAGGGCCATGCGTGTTAAAGTACACGCAGGCAGCGCGCCAGCGGGAGCAGGTGCGGCAGTTCGTGCAGGCCCTGGATTTGCACCGACATCTAGGAATAGGTGGAGTTCCATAGATGTCCAAAAGGGCATGGGAACTCAGATGCTTCGGCGAGGATGTGCAAGAAGCCTTCGCTTGGGGCATGTCCTGCTGCTGCAGTCCTGCCTGTTTCTCAGCATCATGCATGTCATCATGCCACAATGGGTGTTTTGCACTGACTGTTCATATCGGACTAAGGATGACTGCGTTCGCGACGACGACGTCATCGTGTAATTGCAACCTGGCAGCATGAAGTTGAAGAGTCGCCTGAGGCTTTCCTTGGCATTCCATGCATAGGTGAGCTCGTGGGCTCCGCCAGCTAGATTCTCAGAGGTGGGACGAGTATGCTCTCGATCAGAAGGCGACGTATATAAACAGCAGCCGCTTGTCACTGGCCAAGGATCAGCCTTGCTGCCACTTCTTTCGGAGTTGGCGTGGAGGTCCGGAGGCAGAACTGGGCACCGTCTGCATGCGCTTCAGGGTACCTCGGCCCTTCGTGCACAGGAGGCCCGGGGTTTTCCACGACACCGAGACGGCTGCCGGGAATGCCGAAAGCTGAGCGTGGCGCTGCACCCTCCCAGGCCAAGAATCAGGAGCTGGTGGTGTTGGGCTCGCAAGTTTTGCACATTGGCTGTACGGGAGATGCGACTTTAGACTTTGGACACTGGATGTTGGCCGAGCCGAATGATCGTCAAGCTCCAATCGCACCCTCGAAAGACGCCAAGGATGTCGGGGCTTTGTCGGCTGTGGATTAATGATCAATAATGCTTCAGAGCAGGCGTCGTCTCAAGTGTGTCAACGGCA